ACTGGTGGCAGAGCTGGGACCTACACCCAGGGCTCTGCCACCACAGCACACTGATGCCCAGCCCTTGTTAAACAGTTCTCCCCATGTTTAGGAGACCAAGGCAGCTACCTTCAGCCCATCTCCCAGGTCAGCTCAGCAGGAGAGACACGTGGCTGCCACTTCCATTTTAACACCACTCATGGGTGTGAGTGATCCAGTCTTGTCTGCCCAGTCCTGCTCCATGAGCTAAACCCAGAGAGGCCCGTGTGCTTCACTCAGATCCCCTGTGCTGGCTGGCTTGCCACCCACTGAACTCCTACCACAGACCCATGGGCTTCCACGGACTGCACTTCAGAGAGGGGCCACTGCCCAGGGCCCTGCAGAGATGCACCCAGCAGCCCTGGCAACTGGGCCCTGAAAACCACAAGCCAGAGGGCAAAGACTCCTCTAGCCTGATGATGGCAGTGCCTCTGCTGGCCTGGTGCTGCCCTGGTGCCAGGGAGCAGTGCCCGTTTCAGCCCTGTCCCCGCCCTGCAGGAGAGTCCTTGAGGCTCAGGGAGAGGGCCAGGCTGCCCGAGGCCATGTCCATACCGGGGGCAAAGCGGGGCTGGGGTACCCCAATGGCCAGCTTGGTCCCCTCAGGCTGCGCTCCTCGGGACAGCTACTTTGCTAATACGCGCATTTCAAGACAGCCTAAGCCTGAAGTGCACCCCAAACAGAATAAACTAATGAAAGCCTGTCTCCTCTGTATGGCTCACAAACCGTCTCTGCAGGCGTTCTGGTGATGAATCTGCCCCATCGTCCAGGCCTGAGCTTTATTAGCCTATTTAACAGGTGGGGAGACCGAGACTCAGAAATGGGCATGGCTTGTCCAAGGCTACCTGCCCCTCCTGCAGCTGCTGCTGCCCTGACCCCACTGGGAACCCTCTGAGGGGTCACACAGGTCCTCGTTCCAAGCCCAGCGCCCCTGCCCCCCGCCCCCACCCCAGGAGCAAGCGGGAGTGAAAGGAGAGGCCGGAGGAGCCGAGAGGAGAGGGAGGAGCTCCCGTCACCTACAGTTCACTCTGCAAAGCACGGTGCAGTCACAGTGGCAGAAGCAGAAACAGTGGAAGGTCCACTCCCTGCTGACCATTACGGGCAGGGCTCCTGGGCAGAGTCAGGAGGCGCCTGTCACACCCGGGCCACTTACCTCTTCCCCGTCGGGCTCCTGGCTGGTGCAGTGGGTAACGGATACATCGGCCAGCCAACAGATGGGCTTCGCCACGTCAATCTTTAATGAAGCATCCCAGCTCACCTATCAGAACCCTCCTGTCCACCTGATTCCAGCAAGCTCCCTGCGAGACTGCCGATCCCTGTGGGGGCTCAGCCCACAAGCCTTGGTGACTACCAGAAGGGGCCTCCCCTCCGGCTCTCCTGTGACCCCTGGAACATGGGGCAGGGCGGAGAGGTGTGGTCAGAGGGAGCAGGCAAGCAGGGGATGGAGAATCCCCAGGTCCCAGGCAGCTGGGCCGCCTGCCCTCCGGGCCTTCCCCACACCTCTGCTCACTCTCTGGACTGCTTCCTGACCCTCCTGCTCCCCTTGCCAGTCCCACGGGCTCCCGGGACTGTAGGCCATCAGCCCTGCAGCCTACAGGCAAGCTTCCCCCATCCACCGCCAGGCAGCGCGGGCCACACTGAGCCGTGCCATGGCACTTGGCCACCGCACAGGCCTCAGCACAGCAGCGGTGCCTGCTGTCTGGAGGGCTCAGCTTACCAACACGCCCTGAGCGGCAAAGTCCCAGTGTTCAAAAAGCCTGGTAATCAGGGGGACGCCTCCCCTCCTCCCTGCACAGGGGGCTGCGCTAGTTGCTTCCCCTTGACTGCCTCTCCGAGTGGGACTCACACATGGCCCAGGTCTGTACCTGCTACCAGTGCTGTGCATCTCTGTTTGCTCCGCTGGTGTGAGCCCTCGCAGAGCAGGGGCTACCTCTCACCCTTTTCTGTGTCAGCTCCTGGCACGGGGCCTGGCACAAGGCAGGCAGAGAACACCTGCGGGCCGTGCCCAAACTTGGCGTCACCCCAAACTCTGCGGGAGGAGTCAGCACCCGCTCACAACATCCCCAGGAAATGCTCTCGCCAGCAGAATGCCCGTCGGGGCCTCCTCTGGCCTGTCTGGACCCAAGCCCGGGGCCCTCCCCTGCAGGGCTTTCCCAGCTGCCTCCTACGACCTCGCTGGCCCAGGCTCAGCCCCTTGAGCCCCGCTGACAGATTCCGCATCAGAGCCATTCCTCAGCTGGGGAACCACTGTGGGGGATCCTTACCCTAGGACCCGAGGCCTGCCCGGCCTGGTCCCCCGGCTCCGGCAGCCTCCCTCCGGCCTGCTGCGACCCTACTGGGATCAGGCAGTCACATCCAGTGCCCCCTCCCCGCATGCCTCAGCCCCTGCTGCCTCTCCTCACTCTTCCCTGCAGAACATGCGGCTTCTCACAGCACGACCCTGAACCTCAGGGGAACACGGCCACCATAGGCTCAGTGCCTTCAAGGGCATCTGGGCCTGGCACCTCATCTCCTCCACTCTGCCCTCCCCGACGTGGGGCCCAGACGCTTCCTCAGGGCTATCGCCTCTGATGACTTGGCTGGAGAGGCAGACTGCACTTGGAACAGGGGACCTGTCACTCAGGCCTGTGACCTCAGACTAGCTACTCAGTGTCCTCTTTGGGACTTAACCTGCCCACTCTTGGGGCTACAGTAGGGGACGAGGACGAGGACGAAGGTGGCTGGCTGCACCTGCCGCTTACTGACGGTGTCCCTGAGCACCGAGTGCTCCGAGCGCGCAGACTCGAAGCCGCTAGGAGCTGACGCTGAGCCCTGTCACTTGGTCTCTCACCTTTCTGGCAGCTCCGGGCCAAAGTTTCAGCCTGGGACAGGAAACTCGAAGCCTGCCTGCCCCTCACCTCTCCCACGGGCTCCTGCCCTCTCTTTGGACTCGCTCCCTCCTCTAATGGCAGACTTCTGTGTCCTTGAGGACCCCACGCCCACGCCCATTCCTGGCCTCCCCCAGCCCCTGCAGGCCCTACACTCCACTATCGACAAGCTCCCGCTCCACCCGGCCCTGGGCTCTGTGGACGCAGGCACCACACCCCAGTCATCTTCAGCTGCTAGTGCATGGTCCGTCACAGAAGCTCGGTGACCCCAAACCCTCTGCTTATTCCCCCATCAAACAAGCATGGGGCCACAGCTGTGGATACAAGCTGCTCCCACTCTAGCAGGAGAGACGGGAAGCACACAGACCACAAAGAGGAAGGGAGTTCAGGGGGTGAGTGGGTGTGGGCTACTCGTCGGGCTAACTCTGCTCAGCTGGCCCTGAAGTAGAGGCCCACGGGAGGTGAGGGATAGAGCTCGGAGGTTCCTTAGGGGGCAGAACACACGCAGTAGAAGGGACATCAGGTGTCCAGGCCCCAAGTCAGGAGCGTGCTTGGCGTGTCTGGGACATGGTGGGGGCGCCAGGGCGACGGGAATGAAGTGGGCAAGGTGGAGACTGGGGAAGGCAAGAATCAGAAAGGCGGCCAGGGCCAGAACACGTGGGCCACACTGGCCTTGGTCAGGAACTGGACGTCGCTCAGACTGGGAGCTCCTGGATTTCTGACCTGGACAGCAAAAACCGAATGGCCTGCTGTGTGCAGCAGAGAGGATGGCGGGCTAAGCAGCTGTGTGGCAGACGGCAGGGCCGGTGCGGGCAGGGGCACCTGCAGCTCAGCCCTGGACTTCCTGAGCCCTGAGCAGGGTTGTTTATACAGGCACCCGGGCTGGTTCCTGTCCTGAAGGAGCGGCCCTTGGCAGAAGGCTGCCTGGGAGCTCAGCCTTTAGGGAAGGGACTACCCTCAGAAGAGGAGGAGAAAGATGCTGGCAAGGACAGGTCGGGTCACAGGTCTGTGACAGTCAACCCTCATCACGTCGGGTGATGACTTAGAAAGCGACTGGCTGGAGAGGCAGACTGCGCTGGGAACAGGGGACCTGTCACTCATGAGGGTGGCCCTGGACAGGTCACTCAAGAGTTTGACGTGAAGAGCTTTCACTTCGTCCTGCAAGGGGGCGTCCTCAGGAGACGCCGTGAAGACGAGGCCTGCTCCTGCCTGCTGAGTGCAGGGCTCAGGGACGACACCTGTCCTCAGCCGTGCTTCACAGCCCGCAGACCGCATTCCCACTCTTTCCATCACGGGAGCCTCAGGACAACGCCCATTTTAAAGATGAGGAAATGGGCTCAGAACAGGAAGCGGCCCGCCTAAGGCTTCACGGCAGCTACGTGCGACAGGATATGGAGCAGTACAGGGCGGGGAGGGCACACCACTGTCACCGCCCCCACAGTCCGTGCCCCTCCCAGGCAGCGCTCTGAGATGGGCCGTGCACTATCATGCCCTGGCGGGGTGCGTGCTCTGGGCTATGTCCATGGGCGGGGCAGCCCCCGAGGAGCCTGCCTTAGCGTCAAGGAGGTGATCCTGGGCCAGTGGGAGGCAACAGCCTTTCTTCTCTGGGCGGTAAACTGGGGACCGGCCAGCTCTTTCAAGGAAGTCAAGAGCAGTGGCAAGGGCCCTGTGGGCGACGCAGTGCAGACAGTGACACAGGGAGATCACACGGCTCAGCCCCACCCTCTCTGCAGACCCAGACTCCCGATCAGCACTCCTGTGCCACCCCCCCTCCCTGCCAAGCCTGCAGGGTCATCCCGGCCACCACACCCCAAACATCCCAGCCTCTATCACTCCAGGTGGGGCTGTCGCGCCACCCCAGGGGCTGGCACTCTTGGTTACCTTTGCAAATAACTGTTTCTAAACAGAGTACTGCAAATTGTTAGGTGAACTATCCAAACCACCCCCTGCTACCCTCACAACAACCCTGTGAGGTAGGTATGACCAACCCACTTTACAGATGGAGAAAAGGAGTCCACATCAGAAGCTCCCTGGGCTCACGCACAGTTCCTGGTCACCAGCGTTGAAGGCCCCTCCCTCCGCAGGGCCGCAGGCTGCGTGGTGCTGAGCAGGCCGAGGAGAGGGTGCGATTTCTGTGTGAGACAATTCGATTGCCATGTCCCTCACGCACAGAGAGCACCCCTCACCTCGAGCCCAGGTTCTCACGTGGAGAGCGAGGCTGGTTCAGGACTTCGTCTTGGTCGGCAGAGTGGAAAGCGGCGGCTGCGAGAGGCACCAACTGACACGGGAACGCCTCTACCCTCCCAGCGTGGGTGCTGAGATTCAGATGCGGAAGGCAGGAACCTGCCTCAGGAGCGCAGTCTAGACCAGCAGACCCAGCCCGCCCACACATAGCAAGGCCAGGGTGAACAGTGGGGGCTGGGAGATGACCACCAGGTGAGCGATGAGGGTGTGGGGGCTCGGAGCTGGGCAGCTGGGGGCTGACGGGCACTGCCGTTGCCACCCTGCAGGGGGCAGAGCCAGCGTTCAGGCTGAGGGGGCAGTGGGAGACCACGCGCACCAGGGACACCTGAAGCGCCCTCATCAGCAGACACACTCGGTACCACCTCCTTGCTCCCCGGCCTGGGTCAAGAGGAGGCTCGAGTGGGGCCCGGCCCGCAGCCTGAGGGTCTTGGAAGGCGCCAGTCAGGTGGTGCTGGTTCCTGAGGTGCAGAGAGGAGGGTGTTTCTGAATCTGCCAGGGTGCACGCTCCGGGAACAACGTGCCGTGCCCAGCGGTGCTGTGGCCGCAGCACGGGGATGCAGGGGAGTGGCGAGGAGCCCTCCATGGGGTGCAGGCTTGGTCTGAGGAGCACCATGGCGCAGGGACCTGTAGGGCCTGAGAGGGGAAGAAGGCATGGCTTGCCAGGCACAGGCCAGCGGCCGTGTGCACGGAGACTGCAGTGCCCAGCCTCGCCTTCTGGGTGTCCCCCTCTGAGCTGGTCAGGCTGCAGAAAGTGGCCAGCAGAGGGCAGTAGGGAGGTGGCAGAGAGGGGAGGAAGGCAGCCTGGTCAGAGGTCTGTCCCTGTCCCTCAGATGGATCACACCAGCCCAGAAGGTGCCCGAGGGGCAGAAGGGCCAGCGGCCTGACAGCCGGGAATGCCCAGTGCAAAGGAGTTCCGAGAAGCACAACTCAGCTCCAGCGCAAGCGGCTCGGAGGTCTGAGCCGCTCTGCCCCTTTGCAGGGCGATGGAGGCGGCTGTCTGTCCAGCCCTCCCTTCCTGGGCTGGCCACGGCTCTGTGGCTGGGGGGCTGCTGGGGACGGGCTAGGGATGTGGGAGGTTGGAGAAATGAGATGTTCATCGTCCGGCACCAGGAGAGCCAGCTCCAGGGCCATGGTGACGTGTGACAAGCGAGCCGCGTGGGGACGGGGCGTGCCGCTGTGCTCCGAGCCCGGGTGATTAGCTCGCCCCGGGAGTGCCTTAGGACCCCCACCCCGGTCCTGGGTCCCAAGAAAACAGCATCTTAGGAAGGAACGGCTGTGTCAGACCTCGGCCACTCAGGATGACAGCAGAAACCCTCCCCTTCTGGGCCTTGGTTGATTCCTGCAAAACGGGGGTCCTCAGCTTCATGGCACCCACCCGGCTCCCACCCCTCCAGCACCACCTGGGCCCAGACATGTGCCTCCTGCGGCAGCAGAAGCTCTGAGCGGCAATTTCTAGAGAATTCCCCGCCATCAGGCAGCCACGCCCCCTCAGCGTGGGGCCCTGCTTCCTGGAGTAGTGGAAGACGGCGACAGAGTGACCATGATGAGTTCTGAGAGAACCCAGTGGTTTATCAGCAGACTGGCCTGGGACACACAGTGGAGTGGGGCCAGGGAGCAGCTGGACAGCTCCCCTGGGACACCAGTGTACCACGGGGGCATCAGAGGAGCTCCCTTGCCCAGCGCTGTACTGCTTGGCCGCAAAACACGCCTCCACGGCACTACGGCTCGCTGTTCTCCCGCACCCCGCCCCTCTAGTGAGAAGGCAGCAGTCGGGAGCGGGACGGGCCACGTCCTCCCTCCCTTTCTCTGAGGCCTGGTTTCCAGCCGTAGATGGGGCAGACCTCAGGGGGTCCACCTGGCACTGTCAGTCGAAGAGCACACGAGACAGCAGGGACAGCCTGACGAGGGACAGGTCTGATTGTCAGAGCTTCTAACCCAGCGGTTCTCCCCCCTCTCAGCCCCCACGGCCCCTTCCTGTGACAGACACTCTGCAGTGGCCCTGTGTTTTCCTGCAATGAGATGCACGGGTTGTGTAACTCACATACATGGGTGGGCGAGAAGGGATCAGTGCAAGGCCTGACGTGTCCTGGAAGGGGACAAAAGGGGGCAGCCATCTATCATGAAGTGCAGGCCCTGGACGCTGGGAGGGGAAGCAGAGAGCAGCCGGCACCTGCCACAGACCTGGGACACACTGCCACGCCACGGGTCAGCTGGACAGGCGACAAAGACATCTCCCGAGAAGGGACTTTTCCAAGCAGAAGACAGGTGGGACAGGGACAAATCCAAGTAGCTGCAATCCTAGAAAACTCTGCACATACTAAAACTGGAAAAAACCAAAACAGTGCTTTTTATAGAACGGAGCCACATTCTGGCTCAGATAACAAAAACAGTTTTTCACCCACAGAAGTCTGGTGGGACACATGAAACACACCCACCGTGCGGGCTGTCCTGTGTACCCCCAATGTCCAGCACCATTCTGTCCCACGCTGCCCTGCAGGGCCTCCCTGTCCAGCCCCCCGCCACTTCAGGTCTACAAGAAACATCACGAGAAGACAGTACTCACACACAAGGCAGTGGCGGAGTCGGGGCAAGAACCTGGACTCCTTCCAGGCCGTGCTGTTCCCGCAGACTCGGGGGACGCTGCAGCCTAAAGCATTCCTAGAACTCCAGGCACCGGCACGGGAGGCCTGGGCAAGCCGTGGCTGCTGGCCACCACTACTGCTCTTCCCCGTGTGAGGCCATGTGCCATAGAATCCTCCACAGCCCTACCTCCTTGGGCTCTCGTGCTGTGATGCGAGACCCACCTCCGCTTTTTAGAGGAAACAGGCCCAGGAAAAGGAAGGGCTTTCCCCAGGCCCCATGTGACAAGGGCGCAGCCGGGTCCAGCACGAGGTCTCGTCTTCTCGACACCACGGTTCTGAATGCTCCGAGCAGATGATGGCTAAGGCAGTGTCACAGAGAAAGGGCCCCGGCCTGCTGCAAGACCGGAGGACGGTCAGCGCCCCACCTTCCAGCTGAGGAGCCGGAGCCCCACGGAGGCCCCGGGCTGGCACAGTGACTGAGGGCCTGCAGTCAGCGCAGGACAGTGACGGAGCGGGGGCTGGGCCTGGTGCAGAACAGAGCTGGGGTCTCTGGTCCTAGCGGGCTGCTGTGACCCAGCAGGGGAAGAGTGTTTCCCGAGCGCCTGCGCACGGCCTCCCAGTGCTCCCTCTGGAGGGCAGAGGCGATGGGGACAATACGGCTCCTGCAACCAACAGCGGTCGCAGGCCAGGGGGTACAGACCCCCAGGTATGTTGGAGGCCTCACGATGCGGAGGGCATGCAGGGGTCAAAGGCGCTGCCCACGGGGCAGGCGTATGGGAGAGTTCTGTGCTCTCTGGAGTCCCGGGCTGCGCACAGGCCGGCCCCCTCCTTTCATCCCTGCACTGGAGAAGCAGCTGCCATGGTCAGAGAGAAGGGAGGTGGATGGAATATTCCCGGGGCCCTCTCTGTCTCTGAGTCTGTAGGAGAGGAGGCTCTCCGAGGTGACTGCCTGCACGCTTGGTTTACGGGGGCAGATGCGTAGGAGCCGGATGTCATTCCTGTTCTGTTGTTATCATGCGTGTTATCTCCGTTCACAGCCACCTCATCTCCGCGGCCAAGATGTCCACGGCAAAGGAACGGAGAATGGGCGAGGGTGCGAGTGTGAGCCCACTGGGGAGCAGGGGCCCCTCTGTCCCAGGCCCTTCCCTCAACCTGGAGGGCCCTGGAGTCCTCAGGCCACCGACCAGGAGGCCTGGCCTACGAGACCTCTTGTGCCTTCAGCCAGTTTCACCCACACCACCAACCAGCCAGTGACAGGAGAAAGGGCACAACAGGGCCAGGTGCCTGTCCGCGATGATAATGGCTACAGGTCTGCAGAGAATAAGGAAACTTAACGTGACCACAGCACACAGGAGACTCAGGGGTGAAGTCCTCAAGGGCTGCTGGACACAGAGGCAGAGAGCGCTGCCCCTGTTCTCAGCCTGGCGCCCCTGCAAAGGCCACAGTGGGTATTAAAAACAGTGCCTATCTGTGGAGTACTCGAGCATCGGGCCACCCCATGCACTGTGCAGGACGACCACAGCCCATCCTGGGGATGACTGGCCAGTGTCCCTCCTGATGTGGGGCAGGGGTACCCGGGGACTGGCCCAGCAAAAGTGCATCCACACACTCTCACGTCCATACCTGTATCCACAGTGTGCAGGCACTGTCGAGGCCTGCAGACCCCCGAGATGGAAATGCCCGCTGTGTCAGGAGCACAGCTTCACACACTCGACACGGCAGTCCGCTGCGGGTGCCGGGCAGGAGTCAAGCACCGCGGTGTGTCCTGGAGACCAACAGTGGACAGGTGGGGCGTGTCTCTGGTCCTCAATCTTGGGGGAAGTGGAGTGGCAACCAGACCCTAGCACTATGAGGTAGGGAACGCAGATGGGGGCAGAGTAAGCGTGGGGAAGGGGGCTCACCCTGGCCTGGGGCAGGGCAGGGGGCACAGAGGTCTTCCCACAGAGTGTGGGACTCCCCACTGAGAGGAAGTGGTGAACAGAGGTAGAAACCAGGTGTCAGGGGAGGCCAAGGAGGAGCAGAGATGACCAGAACAGTGGGGGGCAGGGCAAGTGGGCAGCTGGTGTCCAAACCCAGGGCACCGGCCTTTCCCGCTCTCATCCCACTGCCCGTACATCCCTGGGAAACCACAAAGCTCATCCGAAGGCTCCTTGTACTCATCCTGTCACTTCTGGAATCCTTCCTCTTTTTAGAAAAGATCTCTGGGATAATCTGAAACGACAACTTCTCAAACCTTGCAGACTCCTGCCTCTCTGGCTCCTGGCCAGTTCTTTTTTTTTTCACAGCCAAAACCAATTTATTCAAGGGAAAATAAATCCGCAGAGGCAGCCAACTGCCGGTGTGCGCACAGAGCAGCT